AAAAAACTTGTCCCAAGCGATTCCAGCTTGGTAATCACATTTTTTTTCCGGAAAAATCACGAAAAAGTGATTTTTCCAGACGAAAATCGATCTGTATCTCATGGAGAAAATATCTCAGGACGGTGATTGGGGCATGGTTTTGTAGCTCTTGTTCCCAGCTTTCGAACGCCACCAAGCGCGAGTCTCTAGCTTATCCCGTTCTCGAGCAATGACCGTTCAAAGATTTCAGGTGTTTTCAGGGGTCCGAACACACTTTAATTTTTCTTTCGCATACCATTCGGACTTGAAAAGCGATTGGGATGATCTGAGTGCGTCAATATGCTCCTAAAGAGTGGGACATTACGCCACGCGATCCATTTCGAAAATCGGAGTCGTGGCCGAAAACGCCCCCTTACCCAGCTGTACCCTTTCCCCGGAATCCGGCAACCTGTCAGACAGTTGGACTCTCATATCGTTCTCCGCATCCAAGCGACTTCTGTATTTGGTCTTAGTTGCCGTGTATACCGAGAATCCCGTCTCACACCGATAAGTGCTGACAAAAGGCACCACGACGCGCAGTGCTCCTTTGTGGTGGATAGATTTTCACGATTCCACGGGTCACCAAATTCCGAACGAGAATCTCTTCGATAATGTCCTCTCTGTTCGAAAACTGCATTCGAAATCCTGCGCTTGGGGGCCGTGTCCTACGGTGGTTTGTTTGTCCTCTGGAGCGGCATTTTTCAAGAACAGCGCATTCGGCTTGAAAGTTTGATGAATTATTGCATTAATGCTTGATAATTGAACCGAGTATCTGTCCGCTGGAGCTCTGGGAATTCGCTTACGGAACCCGAGGGTTCCGCAAAAAACTTCGCCACGGAACCCCGAAAATCTCGTGGCGGAACCCCTGTTGGGAAACCCTGCCCTAGAAGCTGTTCGAATGTTTCGCTTAGACTCCCCAGAGCAAGAATAATCATCCAGCCTGTGTCCCCCCGGAAGGGTCAGAGAAGAAAAATCCTCCATACGCCACTCTTACCCGATGTCCTTCCTCCGTATGTGTGCGAGCCATGAAGATTCAGTCATCGAGCTAGATTCTAGTGCGGATGAATCTCGGTAATTATCGACAATTTTCATTACATCGCTCATTACAGAAACGTTCCGATTTTGGAATCAAATTCATCTGGCTCAGGGTATCAGGCGAGATCAGACCGCTACACAGGAGCCCGTTCCATCGATTGCAAGAAGTCGCTCAGCGAAAGCAGGCGATACTTGCTCGCACATAAGAACTGCGAAATGATGCGGTATTGGTTTGCTCAATCCTAATCCTAATGCATCCTGGAATCTCAAGGTTCTCATCGAAATTCGAACAGCGAATAAGACCATTGATCACTTCGAGATTCGGAGGAGCTGCAGCTTCCGGGATTCAGGAGATTCCTCTGAAGAATTCGGGGCCGCGGGAAAATTCGGATTGCGAGCTGCCGTGCGGATCCTTCAATGAGCCTCGAAGGACTAATTCTCGAGATTTTAGACGGGTTCCGAAATTCCATTGATATCAGCATAGGTATTCTCGAGCACGGAGAAACAGGGACTGTGGACCATGTTCCGAGAACGGATCTGGGGACAACAATTCCTCATTCTTGGAAGTTTGCCAAACTCAAGAACCGGCTTTGTGATTCGGATTGATCGAGGATTCTTGGGGGACTCCCCCTCGAAATATGGGCTGGATAAAGGACAAGGCCTGACGCTAGGATTCGGGAAGTATTCGGGAAGAATTCGCTAAGTTCACTCCGTAGGAATGACGCTGGAAGGAGGACGGGGGACCTCTACCGCAGATTGACCTAGAGTTTCCGCGAATTCAGCCACCCTCGGGATTCTTCAACGCGGAATCCTTGGAGAGCACCGGAAAACACGATTCGGAGAAATCCCTGGAGACCGCCATCTAGGTATCAGCCTTGCCGAATATCATCGGTTACGTGCGATTATCGGAGCCTCTCGGACTGCGCTGACCACTCGCTCCACATTCTAAGGACAGAAAGTCCCTTAGAACCCCCCAGGAAGAAAGAAAGGGGGGCATCGCTCGTCGCTGTAAGATGTAAACTACTCCACTGGAACGATGTCTGCTAGAGTCATGCAGGGTGAGAGCACATTTCTAAGAGCAATTTCCTGCTGAGCGCGACGATCTCGCTGCCTCGTTCCCCCCAGCAGTCGGGGCGAGCGAATCTACCTCACAGCGAGGAAACATGATGTTGAGAGCGGATGACATACCGTCTCGCGAATCGAAAATACTTTTGTGACGGGATATCTTTGTTCTGGTCTCCAATTTTCTCGTCTTCCTGGACTCGGTCCACGAGATCGAAAAAATGCACTCGATTACTTACGAATATCAATCGTTGGGGTTCATGAACATGTACACGTACATAGGGAAAAATACATCGCCATTAGGACTCGTGACCCCGAATGAGTTGTCTCCTGGGGCACTTTATGGGTGGACTCTTGCGAGGATACTGTTTTTTTCCACAACTAAGTACAGTGCTCTCATTGAAGCAGCAGCTTCGAGGAATCAGAGGGAAGCAAGTCTTCTCGTGCTGAAAATTCTGAAGGGGGAAAGTCTCGTTCCGAAAGTGGAACCAGGGTCGAGCGCGAGTCAGAGAGAGAACTCAATAAATTGATTCAATGCTGCTCTGTATATTTCCGTTCAAGGGCATCTTCTCTTCGCGTCCTTCATCCGCCGGATGCTCTCTTCCGCGCCGTCTCTCTGGAATGGAAGCCTTTTGAAAAAACGCTTTCTTATCCTTTACACTCTCGAAAGGGCAGTTGACTCCAGCCAGTTGCCATCATCTTCCCTCCCGTCATACCTCTTTCCATTCGGGGGAGCTCCTCGCTGCGAACATCTTTCCCGCCAGACTTCGCGAACATTTCCCCGTCGCAGGGCAACAGGAAACCCGACCGGCTAACACCTCATTCCGAGCATTGATGCAACTCACAACAATCGGGAAGGGAACCAATCCGAGTGGACGTGACTAGCGGGTCGACAGGAGGCATCGAAAAGAGCTCCTCTGCGTGTGGCACTCGGAGTTTTGACTGAAGGCATACGAATGGAAATTTTCGTCCATCATTGCAGGTGCGACAGGAACAAGGGGAACCTCCTTGGAACCTGACCGGATCGATTATTACCGATCAGGAGGTGCACAAGAACTCTCCATCAGGGACAGCCAATAACGAGCCCTCGGAATTGAGAGATTCGCTTGTCGAAGAGTTTGTCGAGGGCGGATTCAAGTGTTGTTAAGCGGGAGAACGAAATCCCAAAGGAGGCGTCCGGGTCCGTGACCTTCAACGAGATCCGAAGATACAATGCACTCCATGGCTTGATGTGGTGGACGGTGCCGGAGGCTCACTGGGGACGCACGCTTACAAATGTATGGTTATATTCTCCGTCCCCGCATCGCCTTTGATGAATGAACTGAACCCCGTTGCCATCTATCTCTCTTTTCCTGTCTCGTGGTACCATACGGCAAAGATTCTCCGTTGACGGGTATTCACCCCACGGAGCTAGTGAGTGAGCTAGAAGCTAGACGGGAGGCCAGAATCCCTGCGCGAAGTCGCAGCCTAACCAATGAGGTCTGCATTCCCAAAGACCCGGGAGGGGAATCATCGGAGCTCAGAGAGAGGCTGGAATGAGCTTTGGAGTCGAATACTCACCTAGATCATTCGGAAACCAGGTGCGAAGCTTCTTACGAGCGGTCTGATACCAGTTCGAAAGCTGACACTGGAACTCATTCGGGTCGAGACAGAGGACTCCGACCCGAATGCATTCCCCCGAATACTTGAAAGGAGCGACTGTCACGGGAAGTTGCTCGTTGCGTGCTCTTACGGTCGGAAGGATACGACGCAGTAGAACAAT